CGTCTGTCAACATATTCACTATGGATTTCCAGATAAATGCATAATCTTTCTTTGTAATCCCCTCCTGGGTTAATAGGATTTCACTGCTAGTTTACTGGCTTGTATATGTTGTTTAGGTTTGCTCATACGTTAATGAGTTACTCTGAGACAATGCTTCACTTCCAGCTGCTGTCCTGTTCTAATGTATGGATAGTGTTGGGGGGGGTGCCCTGGGTGGGGTGGGTCTGTATCCGAGTTAGAAAATTTAATCCGACTTATTGATTGTAATTGATATATTTTCACCCTACAAATAGTTTTCAGGATGCGAGTTAAGTTCGTCAATCCAGGGATGACTGTATAATGAAGAGGAGCTGCTCAGAACCCAGCCCAGCGCAGTGGAGGTATAAGGTATGATCGTGAAGCAGGAGAGGAATAGATTTCCCCCACTCTGTGGGGTGCAGTACAGGAGAAGGTATAATGAAGAACATGACCCGGAGTAGGCGGGTTTCAGAACCATGGACAGCAGAGTGCCAATATTAGTGCTAACAAATAAGAGCGCATAGAGTCAGGGAGGGAAGCACTGACAAGGTACCAGCACAGACAGCCCCACAGTGTCAGGATAGACCAGTGGAGAGAAAAATAGAAGAGAATCAGGGACACACAGCGGAAAAATGAACACCCTTTGTAACGTGTCATGGAATATGGAGACGGTGCCTTCTGGTCCAACGGATGGGGTTATTTCTGCGGTCTTCTACCTCTGTGAAAATGCAGTATTCTGGTGCGCGGAGGGGCAGACATAAGCTCCTCCTCTTGAGCTCTTCATCCTGAGGAGACACAAGAAGGGTGGTGGGGTGGCAGGCGCAGAGATGTCAGCACCTTGGACGGGGCTGTGATGGAGATGACGAGGGTACAGACGCAGACAGAAAGACCCTCACGGGTACAGACAGGAGCAAGTCAAGGATAATTGAAAAGCAATGGATAGCCTGCTTCTGGAAAACAGTTGTTTAGGTGTTACACTTGAAATAGGCTCTACAGACAAAATACTAAATTTCTCCTTTTGAGTTTTCAGAATTAACCCTTTACTTCTTGCTTCACCAGCAATGCACA